CCTTTATCTTTTAGAGAGTAAGTGAGGGTTAGAATGTCTGAGTTTGGGTGAGGAATAACTCTTGCATGGAACTTTTAAGAGAGAGAGAGAGAGACAGAGAAAAACAAAAGAAGAGGCCAGGCCTCCCCTCCCCTCATAACACTGGATTCTGGTTAGAGACTAGACAGCATCTACAGAAGTACTCTAGGGACGGACGCTTTTCATTTACTTTTACCTCAAGCCTCCAGGTATGGAGAGAAGTTCTACCACACGATACAAAGCATTTAAGACCCTATTCCCGCAGTGACTGTCCGGATCAACAATCCCCTTAGTTTCCTCCGACCCTTGTCACTCCCAGACACGACTGCTCTGGTAAACAAAAGCACCAAAAATGGTCACCCTGAAGAATGAAAGAAAATATGTGTCCCAAGTCCCCCTGGAGGTTGTCACAAAATATTAGCTGGTTACATTCAACCAAGTCATAATTGAACAGGTTGGGAACACGGCCCAGTGTCCTGTGTGTCAGCCAGAGCTGATACTGAGTCATCAATACAGGAGCCTGTGCTTTCAAACATCTGTGACAGCAGGAGACCCTCACTTCAGTGTTTGTGCTCATGGCAACGAACTGTATCTTTAAGGGCTTCACTTCCAATCAAGATCACATTCTGGAGGGACATGGCTAGGACTCGGCTGGGAAAATCCAGCTCCCCTATAGAAGATACCTAACAGGAACAACCAGCCTGGCAGGCTGGTAAACAAACCCTGGGGTCCCTCCCAGCTGCTCTCAGTTTCCCTAATGTCAGCGCATGGGGATGTTTGAAACACAAGTCTCCTGCATCCCAGCCTGCCCTCAAACTCGGTGTATAGCGGAGGATGACCTTGAACTTCCGATCACCTGCCTCCAAGTCTTCTTCTTCCTGGCTGTGGGTGTCACGGCTGTGCGCCACCATACCTGTCCTTCGCAACGCTCAGAATCAAGGCCGGCTTCATGTGTCAGGGACGCCCCAGCCTCAGCCTAAATGCCATGCTTTTAACTTTAGAGTGAGACCCTGAATGTGCCCCTTGGTTTCTTTCTGTGTCTGCCACCTCCCACCTCAGATTCACGCCTTCCCATGGCGCCTGCGTTATGGCCCCTGTGATGGTCAACCTCCCGTGTCCATTAGACTGAATCAGCGTTACCTAGGAAACACTCCTCTGAGTGTATCTTGGAGGGTGTTTCCAGGGAGGTTCAACTAGAAAGACCCATTTTGAATACAGGCAGGACCATTCCATGGGCTGGAGTCCAGGAATGAATAAAAAGAGAGAGCAAGTAAACAGAACCGCAGCGTTCCCACCCCACCAGCCCCGCAAGCGTTCCCACCCCACCAGCCCCGCATGCTTGCTGGCTGCAGATTCAGTGGACAGAACCCCTCTCACACTGTTTCCACCATGCTCCCCTCCCCGCCCCCGCCAGGACTGAGCCATGAGCCAAATATTAACCTTTCTTCCCTAAGTCGCTCTGTTGGGCATTTTGTCACAGCGGTGAGTAAAGCCACACGGATGCATTCCCCCAGTCTGTAAAGCCCTGTGATTCCCCTGAAAGCAGGAACTGAAAATGTGCATTGCCTGGTGCACATGTGAGAAGTAGGAGCCGAGAGGTGCACACAGGCAGGCTCTGTAGGAGAGGTCAGATGGTGTGACCGGAAGGCTGTGCTTCACCCAGAAAGAAGGATGGAAAGGGAGCAAACGAACTGGAAGTTGTCAGCTAAGGGAGGTTGGGGGGGAGGGGGAGACACATAAGGGAATCTGTAAACAAAGAGGAGTCATTGAAAATGCGCCCCCACGTCGGGCACTTGGCTGCACATACGAAAGCACACATGTGCGCACCTCCCCCTCTGGAACACAGAACTCTCTCCTCTGTAAGTGAATGGGTTGGCACGCTGGGGAGGGCTGCGCCCCGCGCTGCCGCTGCCATACCAGGTCAGCTGAAACCCGAGTCCACGGCAACTGCCCTGAATGGCTGACTGCCTTTTGTTCTTTTTTCCAAAAGCTGCTTTCTTGTCATCGTCTCACTCACACTGTGTCCGCCACCCCTAAAGGGACACCTTGAAGTTACTTAATACGGGTCCCAAAAGTCCCAGGACAATGGGCACAACTCTACGGGGATGCCATCGGCTCCCTTGCCATCACTGATGTGGGATTGCCCGGTAGGATAAGGGTTTCGGTGCATTGAAAAGGAGGCCCTGTGAGGTTATGGGCCTGAGTGATGAGAAGGGAAGGCTGATTCCACTCGGGATAAGCCCGAGAGAGCAGCACCTGCACCTTCCCAGCGGCCATTTGATAGGGACCCTGGGCAGGGCCCAGGGAGAGGTTCTGGGGGACAGTTTGTGGTTCAGGTTGCTGTTCACCCATCTAGTTGAAAAGCAAAGACTTCTGCATTGATGCTAAGTGAGGCTGTTCTCTGACCCTCCAGTTGTCCAAAACTGGGGAAGATAAAATAAAATTAAAATTAAAGAAAAAAAAGCCAGTTTCTGAACAAAACCATAGTCATCTGCGAGATGAAAGGGGGCAGTTTCAGAATGAAACTAGATTCCTGTTAGCAGCTCTGTATAAAAATCAACTCAAGGATCTTGGACCTTAAAGTGTCAGAGACAGAGGCTCCCTGGCCTTCCCTACCAGGACTCTGATGGCTCTGGAAGGAACTCTGAGAACTCACAAGTAGGTTTTTGTGATGTTAAATGACCTCCGGAAAGCAAAGGAAACAACAGAGCAAGTGGTTGGATGGGGGAAGTCTTTCCTAACCACAACTCTGGCAAGGACAAATATCCAGAATGCAAAAGGAACTCAAAAAAACCAGATCCCAGAATACCAAACAAATGGCCTGATGGTAAGAACAGACAGTTCTCAGAAGATGACGCACCAGGGCGAAGAACCGTAGTCGGTGAAATGCAAACGAAAATGACACTGAGGTCCCATCCCTCCATCACACTGGTTAGCATGAAGACACCAAACAAGGATCACCATGTGCCTCTGTGGCTGTGAACACTGCCATGTAAGCCCCATAGTCCGTGGAGGACAGAAGCAATCCCAAAAGTTGTCGTCCTCCACCCCACCCCCAGCTTTTGCACAGGTTTATAGCTACAGTAAAGCCCAGTGGCAAAAGCTGGTAAAAATGTGGGAGAGGGAAACCCTTGTACTCTGCTGGAGCAGGATAAACTGATATTGCCAGTACAGAAATCAGGGCAGAGGTCCCCCAAAAGCCGGAACTACCATGTGAGCCAGGTATACCACTTACGCATACGTATCCGAAGTATACTGTCGGTACACCCCAAGGATACTTACCCAGCCACATGTACTGTGGCACTATTCACAACAGCCAAGGGACAGAGTCAGCCTGAGTGTCCAACAACAGAAGAGAAATGTAAATAGCATGTGTATGCATACCAGTTTTATTCAGCCATAGGAAGAACAAAATTGTGTCACGTGCCAGAAAATAATGCAATCAAAGACAGTCATATTAAGTAAAATGCTTCAACTCAGGAGGAAATACATCACACATCACATACTTCCTCTTATGGGTAGAGACAGAGAGAGAGAGTGTGTGTGTGTGTCTTAAAGGCAGAAGAAGGGTAGGATAAGGACTGAGGGAGACTAGCTCAAAGGAACCAGCGTGAATACACTCAAAATATATAACATAATAGAAAGAAATTCTTTATGAAAACAAACATTACGCTCCATGAATCTAGAGCAGTAAAGAATATTTTATTTATTCATTAAAACATTAGTGAGCTTTTTTCTTTTTTTTTTTTTTCTGCTTATTTTATTTTACATGCATTGATGTTTTGCCTGCATGTCTGTGTGAGAATTTCAGGTCCCCAGAACTTAAGTTACAGATGTTGTGAGCTGCCATGTGGGTACCGGGAACTGAACCCAGGTCCTCTGGAAGAGCAGAGCCATCTTAATCACTGAGCCATCTTTCCAGCCCAAGAATATTTTAAAGACAACTAATAAAATAAGTCATAATGGTTGCAGTGAGGCAGGCTTTCAAATAGAGGTGACAGTTATCAGTTGTACATCCCAAGAACGTGTACGGTAGAAGCAAAACTCCAACCCATAATAAAACTATGTGTGCCTTTTAATATAAGGAATGAAAACACTCTTAAAAATCAATATCTTTTATTATTTATTTAGGTAATCTTTTCAAGACACAGTTTCTCTGGGTAGCCCTGGCTGTCCTGGAACTCACTCTATAGATCAGGCTGGCCTTGAACTCACAGACATCTGCCTGCCTGTCTCCTGAGTTCTGAACAGAGAAGGGGAGCTGGTACCATGGGTAAGCTCACCTGCTCCATAAGGTTGGGACCTTAGTTTGAGTCCCCTGAACTCATGTAAAAAGCCAGGCATGGTTGCACATGGCTGAAACCCTAGCATTGAGAAACAAAGTCAGATGAGTCCTGAACGTTTGACCTAGCCGAAACTGCCAATTTCTGGCTCAATGAGAGACTTTGTCTCAAGGCAGTAAAGTGAGGCCGGTAGAGCTAGATGCATGGCCTCTGCATATCCATGTATGCAATACGCATGCACGCACGCGCGCACACACACAAAGAGGGAGAGAAACACACAGAGAGAGACACACACAGAGAGAGACAAACACACACATGCACACACACACACAGACACACACACAGACATACACAGAGAGGGAGACACACACACAGAAAGAGAAACACACAGACACACACACAGAGACAGACAGTCACACACACACACACACACAGACACACACAGAGAGACAGACACACACAAAGAGGGAGAGAAACACACACACACAGAGAGAAACACACACATGTGCACACACACACACACACACACACACACGGGAGTGGAGACACTCACACACCACTGTCCTTACTCTGATGTAGAGGTCCGGTATACTCTCCCACTACTATGCCCCTTTCCATCGTTGTTGTTGAGTCATTGAGGTTGAAATTATTCCCAACCTTCCAAGACATGATGTACTAATTAGTGGAAAGCAGGGCGTGATGACCTCGGCGGAGGTGAGGAACATGGAAGGTGACACAGAAGAGAGGGCTCAGCAGAGACTTATAACCCAGACGCGTGTCAGCAGATGTAGTGATTCACGCAGTGCAAGCCTTGCCCGTCACCAAGGCTCTACTGTGCTTCCGCTGGAAGTGTAACTTGCAGGGCAATGGCAGTTTGTAAGCAGGGCTCCCTCAAGGGTGCCCTCGAACGGCACAGTTAAAAATAGACAGCAAGACAAACTCAGAACTAGGTGAAAGTTTGAGCAGGGGTTGTTGCTTCAAGGTGACAGCACTCTGTGTTTGCCTCTGCTTCTTAACGCTTTATACTTCCTAAATATTCTAATGTTTCTGGAACAACTTGTAAGATGAAAAATAAAAGACCCAGAGACAGGTATTGGGCTTCAAGTTGAAGATCAGAAAAGCAAAGCAGCCAGCCGCTAGCTCTTACCTCTACCTCGGGTCCAAAGGGGCGATCCTCAGCCTGCTCCCGACTTCACTGCTCGTCAGATTCGCTCAGATTGCTATGCTCTCTTCAGTATGGCTGGAGAATGAATGCCAGCTCTGCCTGTTCCTGTCTTAAATGCCTCTCAGGAGTCCTGCAATTAAAGGTGTGAGCTCTGTTACTCTTATAGACTGATTCAAGCTCATGCAGCTCCTGGGTGGCCTTGAACTCAGATCAATCTGCCTTTGTCTCCTGAGTCCTAGGATTAAAGGTATGGCCACCACCACCCAGCTTCTATAGCTAACTAGTATGGCTGCTTTGCTATTTTAATCACATGGCTATAATAAATCACAAACTGTGTCACCACAACCACCCTGTTTTATTTCTATAGTATGAACAACAAATAGGAAAAGAAGGTGAGAAGATAAAAGGAGGAAATATAACAAGGAAAACTGGGGAGGACAGAAGAGCTCAGAAGGTCCCAGCAAACTTCAGCCCAAGGACTTCCCTAGGCCTGTCTCCATCTGCACACCCAAAGGACTGTGGTCAATAGCATTTAGCCAGAGATAACAGTACCATCAGCCACAAGGCTTCACTATGAGGAATGCCTCATATGGGTGACCTTGTGGCTTTGAAAATGTCTTCACAACCTGGGCTTTCTTCCATCTTCTCCACTTAAGCAAGATTTGAGACAGACAGAGATAGACAGATAGACACATGCATATAGGTATGGATTGGCACAATTCCTTAGACAAAATACTCTGAGTCTCTCCCTCCCTTCTTCCCTCCCTCCTTCCCTTACCTCTTTCCCTCCTTTCACACAGGGATGGAATTTATGGTTGTTAGTACAGTTAATAAGGTTAATGACTGGGTTAGACTCTACAATGTTTATTTCTCCAGGAACCTGTACAGCAGGTCCCATTACTGTGAGAGCTAGCCAGCAGGAAGGACGCTCTCTGGTCAGTACCAACTTGGTTTCTTCTCATCCTGTGGCCCGGGTATGTGTGGTGTCCTCGGAAATAGGGTCTCATTGAGTTCTGGTGGGTAACCAAGAGCAATGGTACTAGCCTGTGCCTCAACACACTTGCGGAATGTCTCTCTCAACACTTCCACTAAACCTTCTTAAGGTTCTTGATAGACAACCATGACCAAAGCAGACACAGTTGCCCTTGGTCACACAGAGTTATAGGCAGAAATGGCATAGCAGGAGGGTCTAAGAGCTTCCCCAGCCCAGATCCTGCTGCAGGGATCCTCTGCCTCTCTAAGGACAGTCCATCTGGAGCTGTGTAGATCTTGGAGGTATGAACAGAGCTGTGTATGGATTGCTTATCTTAACCACCTGTTTAAATTTGCTAGGAGGATGACACCTGTTTAAATTTGTTAGGATAAACGAAGCCTTAAGGAGACTAGAAATAGGATTTCAAATAAGACTCCAAAGCAGACTTTGAATGGCCTGAGGCAACTAGGAGAGATCACAGTACACAAAGGTCAGGAGGAGGGACAGGATCACTTAGCATTTATAATATTTAGAAAAAGTATAGGCCCAATCGTGTAGCATCTTAGTCACTCAAATTCTGCTTATTGGATTATTATTTGATTTTGTTGATGTTGTTGTTGTTGGTAAAAAGAAAATCAAACTACTATACTATGTTCTCCCATGCATGGCCTTGCAACACTTACGCCCAAGTCTGGATGATGACAAAACATCAGTCATTATTCAAAGTAGCCTATCACCTCACCAGAGCACGGTAGGACAGCCCATCAGCTGTGAGCAGTCAGTGAGATGGAGAGACAGTCCGGAGGGAGCCCTGGTCACTGGCAACAACAGTAGGACAGCCCATCAGCTGTGAGCTGTCAGTGAGATGGAGAGACAGTCCGGAGGGAGCCCTGGTCACTGGCAACATTGGCTCTGGGATGGAAGTTGGCCAACACACAGTGAGACAACAGTCAGAACACCTGACTGTGCCCCGTGCTGCAGGTGGCCGGCAGTGTGAAGGGTCGCCCTACATTCTTCCTTTGGGTTCTGCTTGCCCTGCTTCCACTAGATGGATTTCCCAGTTACCTGAGTAGACATGACTTGATGGGTAGATACGGTGGGTCATTCAGACCATTTTAAAAGCAAAAGTAGCCTGGTGTGGTGGTACACGCATTTAATCCTTGCACTCTGGAGGCAGAGGCAGGTGGATATCTGTGAGTTCCAGGCCAGCCTGGTTTATCTATCAAGTTCCAGGAGTGCCAAGGCTACATAGTGAGACCCTGCTTCAAAGCAAACAAGCAAGCAAACAACAAATGAACAAGGCAAAAGTTAGAAAAGTGATGCTGTGAGATCAGAGGCAACAAAGGGGTCTTTGGCGCTCCTAAGTTCTTGAGAATGACTCCTTGTTAGCGGTTAGCGCTAACCCAAATCAAAGAACCATGGAGAAAAGAAGGAACCGATCCTAAGGAGTTGCCTTCTGATCACCCCCCCCCGCCCATGCAGGGGCACATGCTCCTACACACACTCACACTCACACATTCACTCATACACACACACTCACTCACACACACTTCACACATGCTCACACACACTCACATACACACTCACACTTACATAATCACCCTCACTCACACACACTCACCCTCACACACACACTCACACAATACTCACACACACTCACACACACTTACATTTACACTCACACGTACACCACCACAACAAATAAATACAATAAATGAAAACTGAATACCAGACTGTGACTAATCATTATCTCGAATCCCTGGGTGAACTTGCCATGTGTTTGTAGAACAACTGACAAGCAAGTTATAGATGTTCAGCGCTAGATCTTTGCTGTTCCCAAGAGTGAGTGAGCAAGGGAGCTTGCCAATGCCAGATAACAATTGGTACTCTTTGTTTTCAGTGATAAAAGTTGAGCTTTCGGGCCAGCTGTGGTTGGTATGCCTCTAGCACATAAGAGGTGGAGGCAGGTGGATCGGGAGTCTGAGCCAGCCTGGTTTCTAAACGATACAACAAAATGTGAGTTTCTTTACAGAAGCTGAGTTTCCAAATCTAGTGTCTGGTGCCGTGAACGGCTTCTTTAATGCTTTCTGGGTTTCCTGATGATATTTGGTAATAAGGAATATGATTTTCAATGTGTAGCAGCCTGTTGATAGGGAAACGCTGCAAAACTCAGAAAACCAACATTGTCCAAAGTGCATAGGTAGGCTGTTGTTACACAACATTTCCAACTAAAAGACCAATTAAAGTGCAGGATGAGGGCTGATCTGGAAGGAAGGATTTGTTGAACTTCCATGACAGGATTAAAATAAAATACCCACGTTTTCCTTAAAAGGCCTATTAAAATATACTACCTTGTCTCTTTCCTCTGCTGGAGCTACAGAGGCATGTCGTGGCTCCTGTTTAGGTTTTCTTAAGTCGGTGCTGGAGACCTAGGCCTGGCAAATTGTGCAAACTAAGCCATCCTCCAAGCTCTGGGGAAAAAAAAAAAAAAAAACCCTTTTAATGGTAGCTTTATTTTGCAGATGAAAATACAAGTTACTAAAAGGCATGCCGGTGTCCTGGGCAGACCACTCAAAGGGTCTCCTTCCTTATGATGCTTCCCTGAAGAAAGAAGGAATTCTCTCAGACCTGCTCACCACAGTTTACCAAACTTGAACTTGACTCTCCTATCTCAGCTGATTAGACCAGAGATTGGTCCAACTACAGGCTCTATGTAACTGGAGGCCATCAGCCAGCCAATCACATTTTCTTATGTGGCTACACCAGGTGTGGGCAGATGATTGGGCCAGCAGGCAGCAGAGTTAGTAGTGTCTGCCTCGGGCAGGAGAAGAAGAGCACCAGCACCGGACCAAGACTGGCTCTTTTTGCACACATGATCACCACGGTCACACCAGCTCTGACCGGACCAAGACTGGCTCTTTTTGCACACATGATCACCACGGTCACACCAGCTCTGACAACGACTCATCCACACCTGTGCCCTTCCCACCCACCCTTCAGGCCTGAAGCCCCAAACCCAGCGATGGGACGCTTGCGCGTCAGAGTCGGAGTGGAACCTGCCCTGGAATTTGCTATCTTTACACTGCACCTTCGTGGGGTCTGTTCTTTACAGAACCAGGGGGCAGAGCAGAGAGGGAAGAGGGGAGGGACCCGGGTTCCGGCTGTTGGACGATTGCCCCCCCCCATACATGAGGGATGTCAGCCACCATCAATTAAACTGCAGGGACAGCCTGCAGGCAGCTGCCAGGGGATGGATGGTCCTGACACAGTTGGGGATGCAGCCTTGTCCCAGCAGGGTCCCCCAGAAGAAACAAGAATCTTAGCCGGTGTTGGAGGACACAAGGCAGAGATCTCAGTACTGGTTTTCCTGGAGAACTAAGCAAAAAAATAAAATAAAAAATAAAATAAAATAAAAAGGCGGGGAAGATTGGAAAACCCCGGCTTACTATAATCCACTGGGGTCACTTCAATCTTCGATATGAACAATGGAGATTATTGTCAGTCTTATGTAAGGTCCCCTTAATCTCCCAGGTGCCCCATTTCCAGCTGGAACGCTACCTTAAAGCCCTTTCTTAC